GTGTTTACTGTCTTTACAGACCTAAAGCTCAATGAAGACAGTCACAACTCCACACGAGGCTCCTAAGCATGGCATACTGCTTTTGGGTCATTGGTTAGCTGAAAAGTCACATAGAGGCAAACAACTTCCTCTGGATGACATGCTGGAGAAATACCATGTGATGTGTTTATTCCAAGCTCCATATGGGATAAATAACAAACACTGATACAGATCTGCTTGGCTTTTAGGAGCTGGGAAGACATGCTGTGGTGGGAGATCTGTGCTGGGATGACAGGAAACGATGACAACCTTTGCTAGGAAAGATCTCCCCCTTTATGGGGAATCCACCGAGTGACCCATCGTCACCACGCTGCAGTAGTCTGCTGTCTGCTTTAGGCTCTTGCTTGGGGGTCAGTCTGGTCTGACGCATGCTAACAAGTGGAATTGTCCTGTCCTTGTTGCAGGTAACCCACCTGCACACAGCCAAGCTCAGCAGGGCTCTCAGAATGAGCGTGGAAACGGTTGCTTGCAGGCTGGCTGTTTTCCATAGCTCTGCCAGCCTTTTATGCTTTACCAGGGACTAAGTATGATTGTTTTAGAGAATCTTTTGCAAAGCAGTGTGTGATTGCCCTGTCGGTAGTTGGGATTTGATTTCCAGAAAGGGAGAAAGTACTCCAGCGCTTTGTTAGAAGCCAGGGTCTGCACAACATTCACCTGAGAGGAGCTTGGGAGGCTTTGTACCAACTTCACAATTTTTCAGGAAGAAAAAGAGGGAGGGAGGGAATTTACACCCAGGAACGTGCCTAGGGACCTGAAGGCTGTGCCAGACATTATCTAGCATTAGTGAACGTATGAGAATGTGAGGTCTTGCAACTGGATCCAAGCACAGCAACTTTCTAAAAGTGTCAAAAGCATTTCTGATGTGCTGAACTATCGGTGACTTTAAAGGCAATATCTCACGTGCCACCATACCAGAAAACAAACTTTTCAGGGAGGTAATGTTCTCCTTTCTCCAATAGCAGCACAGTGCTTATGCACTTTGCAGGTCCTGTGTTACACATACCCTTTCGCCCTGCTGTCCCTACCCACTGCGGTTTGCTTCAGCTGTGGAAACAGGAACTGCTGAGTCAGCACACTGATGAAACTCACACTGCTTTCACACATCTCTGGGGAGACAGCTGCAGCAAGGAGGTTGGCAGCAGCTTGTATCCTGGAGAAAAAAAATGAGTACTTAAATTGTCTTAAAACTGCCTGAAATAATAATCTGATTTCTTAGAAACTCTCCCAACTGAAGGAGGCTTCAGGACCCGAGCACCAGTTGCGGGTAAATGATCCCACCTGGCATACGCAAGCTCATGATCAAGTGTTTAGAGTTCAGTGAATGTTGTTTTTCTGCTCGCTCTGTTATCAACTCAAGTATGGTTTACAAAGCCAGGATGCAAGGGGCTGAATAGACAGAATAAGGCCATCAAATTGAGCTCATCTGCCTGGTAACGACAGAGAGCAGCAGCCTGCTCTGGTTACAGACTCACGCAGAGGTGAAATTGCTCCCTCGGAGCTGCTAAAAGATAATGGACTTTTAAAAATTCAAATAACCCCTTCAGAAGGGTCAGATCTCCTGAACAGTGCAAGTACCAAAGGGGAAAGAGATTTGGGATGACTGCATCTTTGAGAACAAAACATCCACAGTTGAAAGCAGCTGAAGGTCAGCCAAATGGGTGGGAAGGGGAAAGTTAATTGCCAAATTGTTTAAAAATTGAAAAGAGATTCAGACTGAGGAAGATGGAGATGTTCCAGAGAACTGTTCTATTAAGGATATAAATAGGGTCTTATCAACAAGCTCAAAGTGAACAAAAGTAGCTTTAATATCAAGAAGATGGCAGTTAAAAGAGGGACAAGTTAACTACTCAGAGGACCATCACTGTCAAAGTGACACCTTCTCACCCAGAGCCCTGTGGTCTGCCTCCATTTAAAGAGGTCTGCTTACTTCAGTGCCATGGTGTTTGCATTTCATCGTTTTTTCACACTTATTAGAGAAACTTAACAATGAGTGTGTGAGGCCTGTATTCTCATTTTGCTTATCGTGAGGATTGTTTGTTGAAGCTCAGAGACAAAATTTGCCTGTTGAAGGCAATGAGGCAGCCGAGATGCAGGTGTGGGTCACACGAGCATTACCCAGGGCCACCTCCCTGGTGCTGCTGCTGCTACCCACATAGGAGAGAGTTTGGTGTTAAGATTACAGGGAGAGACTGCAGTGCTGTATATGAGAAATCGTTAGACAATATGTACTTCCACTCTGACAGTAAATTAGCTTTGACAGTGACTGAGACAGCATATTTACAACCTCCAAAGCTACTATGTTAGCAGGTGTACAGATGTGCTGACACATTGAAAGGACAGTAGCAGATGAGACGAAATAGTCTGTACATAGGTAAGGGTACTCTCTTTCAGTAGATGGATACTGGTAACAGGGGATGTTAGTGGTACGTAAGAAAAATCTGTCACAAAGGTAAGCTAGGAACAGAGAATAAAGAAGACTGGGACAGTCTGAGTATTCAAAGCGAAAAAAAAAAAAAAGATGCAGATGAACTGTCTGCTGAAGTGTGCTGATTGATGTTTGGAGGACCATCTGTTTGAAGAGTCAGAGTACAATGCCCAGATTCTGCAACCTAAGAAGGGAAGTTGTTACAATTTATTTTTGCCTGTTGTCACATCTTCTGAGATGTGACTAGTTCATCAAGACTCAGAGCGACAGGAAGGCAGAAGATTTGCTGTGCCCATAAGACAGAAAAAACTATCACAAATAAAAATTTTCAAATAGATAATTTCAAAATTTTTTTGAGGAAGTAGAAGGAAATGTGGTAGCTAGATGTGTATGAAGAGAGCTGGAGCTGGAGAAGTGAGCAGGCAGGCGTGCATGCACGCATGCACTCCAGCACAAAAATAGGTGGAATTTGGAGGCCAAGACCCAGATCTGCCTTGAGGAAGCTGGGGAAGCTGAACAAAGATACCATGGATGCTCACCATGAATCTTGTTACTCGATGTTTATTTTTAATGCTAAGATTCAACTACATGCTGCTCTAAGAGGATTGTTCTGTCAACGTTAGTGCCAATCACTGCCTCCCAAGTGAAGTCCCAGGCACCATTACACTGCAGCTGAGCTCATTGCGAACTGGGGAGCTGCGTGACTCCCTCCAAGGGCTGAGAGCTGAGAACTTCCACTGAAGATAAACAGAGCCGCAGCAAGCACTCCATCTGTCAGCAGAGGTTTTGCCCAGCATACATCTTCAACAATTGTTTACAAGGTTAATGATCAGCCAGGGAGGCAAAGATTACCATCACCTAAACTGTAAGAGTGGAGCAGTGTGTTACAAGTGATCGATTGCCCCAGACAAACTGTTTGCTTTGCGTAGGACTGCAGCTCACCAAAACATTGCCCAGCAAACACTACGCAATGATGGAAGTATTGCACAAGTGCCTCATTTTCCCTATAGAGAGTTTCAAATGCTTGTCCTCTGCAAACATGACACATTCCTGTAGAGCATTAACATCATACAAATTATTTTATTAAACTCACAGCAAATTATTTACAGCTGTTAGCAAAGTAGTCCTATTGGCTTGGACAACCAGCTGGGAAAGATGAGTAACTTGGATCAGTTGCCCCACCTCTCTTTATTTATTTCTGAGAAAAACAGGCAGCACTGCTAGTATTTGCACGCTGTGTTATTGAAACACTCATAGGCTTGCGGCTTATGTTGAGTATTTACTAAACCCCAAAGGTCTTTGGCCAAAAGCAGCACTACTTTATTTTAGCCACTAGAGTGAGCTGCTGCTCAACATTTGAATAAAGTTCGGGTAATTATTTGTTCCGTTCAGAAAAGGAGGCGTCCTGTCGTTTTGTCATACGTAAGTAAAGCTGAGATCCACACTTTACTTTCCCTAGGAATGATCTTAGTGATGCTGTGCCTGCCTTTAATGCTCATGATATGTTTCAACGGGGCAGGGGACAGACAGTTTTCAGGGAACAGAGAGAAGTGTGTTTAAGATGTCATACTGAGCACCCCCAAATTTGGAGCTGCCCCCACATTAGTTATCACTCAAAATGGAGAGTGGAAACCAGCCTTCCCAGGTCAGGGCAGGCTGAGTACAGATATTATCCTATGGATGCCATCCCTTCCCCCCCAGCCTAAACTTTTTCCTTAGGATGCAATTGCAGAACATCTCTGTTGACAATGGAAAATCCTGAGCATTAATACACAGTGAATGTGGGACTTCTTACAATGAGTATTAGCAGGTAAAAATAAGAGGGCAGCAATTGCAACATAGTCACAGAGCAGGGCTCAGTGATACAACAGGGCAAAAAGTCCTCCTCTACAAGTCCTTACCATGTGACTTGATAGCAAAAAATACCGGTGGGACCCAACTGGCTGGGGCTGGATCCTTTCCACACTAAGGAACAGTCCCTCCTCTTTGCTGCATCAAGAGTTTCTACAGGTAGAGTCACGTCGGACAGCCAGTCATTTCAGCTTTGTGTGTGACAATCAAGTGCTTAAGCATGGAGTCTGAGATACTTCCGCTTGTTACTTATAGTGTTAGGAGTAATTTGTGACTCTGCCAATACAAAAACCACAGAGCAGATACTGAAACCAGCTTGATCACTGAAGTTGGATACAGATTTAGAGCTCAGATAAAGCTTATTACACTGCTACTGATTTCACTGGAATTGTATCTGTGGGTTACAAAGTCAGACAGTCTTATTAATACATTAACATTTTTAATAAATAGTAAAATGGATCAAAGCCTGGCTGACAGCCATTCAGTCTACCAGTAATGCAAGTGTTCCTTTTTGGCAATGAAATGCCACTGAGCAGCAGCTCAGAAGTGCTAAGTATGGAGCCTTACATTTTATTATCCCTCCTCTTTCCCAGCAGGGACTGATTCCTGTCTGTGAAACTTTCAGAGTCTGGCCAGGTTTTCATGGTTAAGATGCTTTCAGATGCTGACTGGGGTAGCAAATACTTTCCCGTTGATGTTCATCCTTGCTGATTTAATTCAATAAGGCGACCAGCAAATACAGCTAATGTTCCTATAATACAAACTAGCATAAATATGCCAAGGAGAAGATGATCAACCACCATCGCAACAAACTTCCATTCTTCTGCAGCCTGGGAAAGAAACAAAGGAGATGGGTAAATCTCTGCAGAGCCATGTTTGTTATAGGCATTCTTGTAATTTACTGTCTTGAACAAGTGAAAGGCTCTTCCTCAAGTTCTACTATTATGCAAAAAATACTAATTTTCTTCTCCAAACAGGTCAGTGGTTGAGAAAGCCTAAGCTACCTAGAAATAGTAGTTTCAAGACTAAACTGTTTAGAAACCCTGGCAATTTGGTGAACATTTTAATTAAAATGAGATGTTGAAAAGCTTAATTTTTAGTCAATTGGTTGCTTTTGAAGGGGAGTTTAAAATGTACAAAGCAAAACAATTTGACTCAACTGACTTTTGTTTTTCTATTGCTTTTTCATTCTCCTGGGTTACCTTAAACAATTATTAATTTAGCTCTAGCCCCTGCTTTCTATGCCTAGTACACACTCTAAGGTCTGGGAAAACTTTCTCTGTAGCTCCCTTAGTCTTTTTTCCAGTTCTGGGACACTGTGAACCAAGTACTTGCTCTGCAACTGCCCTTTCACTGCATGCTTTTGTGGGAACCTGGCACCGTAAGAGCCAGCAGAGAGCAAGGTGCTAGGATTTCCACCCTGTAACTCTGTCTGAGGGAGCTGCACGTACTGGCCTAAGACACCTCTACATTTGCCTTAGTTGCCCCTCAAGTAGAAGAGGCTGTTGTAAATTATCTAGAGGACACTGATAATCAATACTCTTTTGAGGTGGTTCATAAGTGTGTAAGCGAACGCGATGAAGTGACAGTCTGCAGAAGCCACAACCTTTGGTTTATTTGGGGAACTTGACTTCTGAAACCCCCTGGAAGTGGCATCAGTGGTGCCCAGATGACATAAGCAGCTGGGCTCCACTTCCGAAGGGAGCACTTGCCAGTAACCTGAAGACCCTCTTTGTAAGCTTGGGAGGAAGTGAAGCCCAGAGGCGCTGAAGCCATGCCAGCCCTGCCAAAGGTAACACTTGATCTGCAGAGAGGCACCGGAGCCACGGGGAACACGAGACTCCAGCCAGAGCCATTCTGCATGCTCCAGGAATTCGGTCACAGGAACAAACATCGTGGTGTAAATTCTGCCCTCCTTTTCAGGAGCGCAGCCAAATTACTGTCCCAAACAACTCTTTCCACG